CACACACACACACACACACACACACACACACACACACACACACACACACACACACAATGCCACACTGCCTGGGGGCCTTTACATGTTCTGAGTCAGATCTGGTTGGAAATAAAGGCTCTCAACCTGACAATGGCAGCATTATACAGATGGCACATTGGTCTCCATACATTTTTTTTCATTAAGTGCTCATATCATTTAAATGGTACCCACACTGTGCACTGGTGAGCTGAATGACTCAAATACACATGTGGTGATTACTCTGAAGCAGCATGTGGAAACTGCAGCGTGAAGCACAGCAGTGGCGTGCATTAATGGGATTAGGACTGACTTTAACCTTTCTCTTCCGTCTGCACTTACACTCCTTATCCTGGCTCTTTTAACTCTCCGCCTCTTTCTTTGTTTGCACCATCTCTTTCTTCCTGAAATCACTTGTTCTTATTTCACTGCAGTTTGACAGACAGCATCCTTCTTCACTCTTTCCTCGTTAACTCTCTTTAACCCTGTACGCATCCTGTTAGCTGAATGGCTGAGGCTGCCTGTTGCAGGCTAGCGCTGTCAGACTGAGGGGTCCCTGCAGACTTTTTGTGCTCAGTTTTGAATTTGAGACTTCTTGGCTCATGCTGCACTTACATAATCTGTTGTCAAAGCCGGGTACATAGAGTGCACGGTAACACTGGTAATTCATGAATTATATCTTCTGTATGAATGACAGCCCATATATGGCACTTATCCTCCCCTCAGCAAATTTTATTAGTGCATTTCTAGCTAAGATCTTCCCCAGTGTTGATTACATTTCTGGATGGGGAGGATTTCTTTGTTTGTTTACCTTTCCTGGACTGTTTTTCTTTCAAGAACGGAAATGCACTGGAGTGATAGCGTCATTCAAACTAAAAATCACAGATATTGTGCTATACAAAGAATTTTTTATGTGAATTTTCTCATTTTTACGACCTAATAAGAAAAAAGAAATGAAACAAGGAGAAATAAGTGTCCACTTCTTGATAGACGTCTCGTTTTTTCAGCCTGCCAATTTGGCCAGAGTCCTAAGTCTAAAGACTGGTGGGCTTTTTGTTATGGTTACGTAACTATCGGGAAAGCGCAATATGGGTTGATCATTCAGTGATTAAAGTGGATTCAAATGGACCTATTGAAGGTATGTGTTTGATTCCCATTGCAGATGGCACAGTTTTGAGTCCCCAGTTTCCTCTTGCCTCTTTGCCATTGCCCCATTATTTAAAATACAGACCAAAGCGGTCCTTTCATGACACTATGATTGAAATCTGATGTCAAGAGCCGACATTATTCCAAACATCAAAGAAGAGCAGATTGAAGTGTAAATAACACCCACTGACCATTGTAACTATGGCGCATAGCATTGGTGCATTTAGAGAAAGTGGATCTGACTGAAAATTGCTGTCAGATCCACATAAAAGAGGGCCATCAGAGAGTCAATGTTAACTGCATTTATTCTGCTTGAAATTGTTATTATACTGTGTAATGCTGTGTTGGAAGACCTACAGGTGCACTGGTGAAGCAGCTCTGTTACCAGACTTGTTGAATCCTGAGCTGAATGCAAATGTATGATTGGTAAAACAGAACTCCAGCAAACAGCTCGAGTGCTGAATCCTTGAGCTGTTTGTTTCTCAGAACACGCCTCAAGTTCACCTGTAGTAAGGCAAAAGTTCAGCCATGGAAATGAATCAGAGAGTCTTATTAAAAGACTTAACAGCCACCAAGGCAAGAAACTCAATGAGCTGACACCAGTACACTCTTCAATGCAACATAGCAAACAGTCACTACAGAGCAGCTTCTTAACACCCCCTCCCATAGTATCCCTTCACAGCAATTCCAGATTGTGTAGTCCTGTATTCAAACACTGCACAACCTTCAAATCCATCATTTTATCTCAAGGGACCTACAGTGGATGTGCTTTTAGCTTTTCTATTAGCATGCACATTGTAATTTTTCATGCTTGGAAAAGGCCACGATGTTCCTTAAAAGCTGTAATTTTAGAGCAGCCAAACTTCAACATAATCACACTCTATTTTACATCCCCTGCAACTCCCGCTCTAGCATTTCACTATTACAGTTCTTGCTTTCTTTTGTTTTGTATTTTTCATGTGAAAGTCTGCTTTTCTTCTTTTGTTTATCTCCTCTTGCACCACATTAACAGCTGTGCATACATTCCCCACCACACATAATTACAACTAAAATATATGGAGAATGAAGCCGATAACTACAGTCTTTATTCTTGAAGTTATTCTGTTTCAATCAGTTTAAAATAATTTCGTCTCTTAATAAACACTCGTTGGAGCTGTGACATTTGCAGAACACAACTAGCGAGTTGCACAGACAACGTGTGCATCTTTAACAAAGGAAATAAAGGCTGAGCACTTATAGGCTGGGTTGTTGCCTATAATTACTTTCCCTTTGCTCTGGCAAACTACTAATTACGAAGATGTTTCATGTGCTATTACTGTACCCCGGGGCAGAGTAAGGTTATGTAGAAATCCAGTAAGAGATCTGCCCCCTATATGTTTTGTTTATAGCTTAAATATTGTTAGATAGTGAGTTTGATTGAAAATAGATAGATAGATAGATAGATAGATAGATAGATAGATAGATAGATAGATAGATAGATAGATAGATAGATAGATAGATAGATAGATAGAATGTGAACGCACGTGACTTCCATCGACCCTTCCGATCAATTGTGCTCCTCGTGTTTACATTCTGTCCAATCCAGTTATGCACACTGCTGTTAAAAACAGAGTTCAAGCTTTCACGTTACTAATTCCCACACATCATGAAGGATTCACATGGCTGTCACTGATATGCGACCTTTGAGTAGCCTCGAAGAGCTCGTGTTTTGTGTAAGAGCACTAAATGTTCCCTTAAGCAGCGGTTTGAATACAATAGAGGGAAAACAATAGCTTGAGCTGAGGGTCCTCCCTGTGTCTAATTTTCAAAAGCAATTACACTGATTGGCACAATGCCGTGGGCTACACAATTGGCTGTTGGAACCGCTTTAACATTTGGAAACATGGAGGGTTCTTTAATTACACTATTGGTAAGGTGCTGCATGTTATTTATGTATTTATTCTTATTACTGTTATTCTTGTGGCACTCTGTGGTTCCATAAAAAAATCAATGTGGTATGATAAAATAAAATAACTGCATTTTGTACTGAACAAAGAAAACTCACTCACCTCAGAAATGCAACATATTGGCGTGTTTTCCTTTTGTCATTCTATATTCAAAAGGGGGAAGCATGTGAAAAGAAGAAGAAGAAGAAATCTGTTCTTGACGGTGTGGTCAGCTTAAAAACCAGACATCACGTCTTAATGAAGCGGATTCGGTCCAAAGCCAGCGAGAAACTCCAGATAAAACCCTGAAGCGAAGATGAAAGAATGCTCAACTCCTCTTTCCTCTCCTCCACTCTTGGCTTCAATTTCTCACTTGCTGCCTGTCTTCCCTTGTCCAGACAGATACGTGGTTCATAGCCAGAGCCTCATGTAATATTAAACACCGATAATGGATCAGCGCATTGTGAAAAATAAATGCACTCTTACGGTTTTTTTAATTCCATGTTTACATCACGCACCCAATTATCTCCCTCCTAAACGAACAGTATGCGCGCTGCTTCCTTTGTGCTCCCCGTCTTTCTCACTCTCAGCGGATTGAACCATTCCCGCAGCACGAGAGGGGGGGGAGGTGGATGGGTGCTCTATTCCTGTGATTATATGTGAACGAATGGGTTTGGTGACTCGTGGCCAAATGTTGTTATTGTCGGGGATAAAGAGCCCGGGAGATGGAGTGATGGGAGGGGGGAAAGGGAAGAGGAGGAGGAGAAAGTGAGAGAGAAGGAAAGAAGGAGACATTTACTGTAAAGCAGTTTGATGCAAAGGAGGGACAAAGGGCACATTTTCTCTCTCTCTCTCCATTTTTCTCTTTTTTTTTAAATTTCTTTTTGCCTGGTATATCATTACATGCAATATGAAATTAAACTGTATAATCGCTCCCTCTGGAACAGCTGCTTCCACACACTAAACCATTTTTCTTGTCATGTGTAAGTAGGATTTCTCCTTAAGCGGGCTCTCATGCTACATTATGCAACCAAGATATAATTACATCTAGTGTAATGGTAGAGAAAACACAAGTGCCGGCCTACTATTTCAATAGCCTTTCATGTTTGCTCTGCTGCCTGTGAGCTCCTTCAGCAAAAAAATATAGTGTCAGTTCAGAACCTCGGAGAGCTCCGAGCCGGCACCAACAACCAGTGTAAATAAAGGGTTGCACTTTCTAATGGGTGGTTTGTTTGTTTTTGGCCTTCCTTTTTGTCTTTTTTTTTAAAATAAATAAATTAGATTTTTTTTCTAAGCTATAAGTGTACAGCAGGAATATTTTTATAAAGTTTGCCAACTGGTACTATGCTCGGATTATTCAAAATATACCAAGAATAATATTTTGAGTTGCCCGTCTTCGTGAAAGTGGCTAAATTTACACAGTATCAGGCCTTTGCCTTGATTTTAGCAGCCTTTTGTCAAAATCAGACAGCTTAGCGTGAAAGACCTTGCTTCTAGTGGTCTTATGTGGATGTATGTAGCGTGCTGATGGTGCCCCCTCCCGGAGAGAAATCATCATCGTGTCGGAGACGGGAGCCACGCATCTGAACCAGATAAAACCTGATGTAGTCCACGGTTGTTTGCGTTATTGTCAGATGATATTGATTTGGGATTAACTTCGTTTAATCATCCGTGAATGTGCGTAGAGAAGATCCTTGTAGTTGCGTTTTAAACTGAAACATATAAATACTTCTGCTCTATAGTTTGGCTCCATTCCATTTGAAACCAAACACATCATTAAAATATTAACAAGAATAATTTTTAAATGAATGATTATAATAGTGAGTTACAAATGTTTACTCCTCGGGTCAGTTTACGCACAGCTGCTCCTTAGTAAAACCAGCCTCTCATGTTACCTATTACGTAACGATATATTAGCGGAGCTGGACGGACGAGTTTTGACGCCTTAATAAAACCGCGCATGCTCAAAGATAGCCCTCTTGTTTATCGCCAGTTTGCTGGACGTTATGAAAGTTTTGCTGAATGTTTAATTCTCGCAAAGCGAAGACATTGATGATCTCAAGACCTGACTTCGGGTCAGGTATTTAAAAAGTCAAATTACAGATAGAAATGAAATTAAAAACGTTTGCAAAAGAACCTTTCTGGCTGTCAATTCAAAAACACGTCATTTTTCTTCACATTCCGCGTGTCGGCGGTTATTTTATTGTCTAATGATGTTTTAAAATGTCCCCGTGTGGACGCGCAGCATCTGTGCCTTTAAGATCATCTCTCACAGCATCCTCCTCCTCCTCTCCTGTCAGGGACGCGCACACACAGCAGTGCAATATTAGAGACTACAAGCTAGCTTTCTGCACACATATTTTCCCACAGGTACATCATAACCTCACACAACTACACCTGTCCTCGTTGTTTCTCAACTGGACATTGATGCATTTGCCTCAACAGTAACCGTAGCGGTCCCTCCGATCGTTATTGCTTTTATTCCCTTCCTTCCCGCATCCAAAGACTGATCTACGCTACAAGATGGCTGAGCTGAATTTGGGGAAGGGGCTCACTGCAGGGAAAGTGGCCAGTAACGTGCAGAAAAAACTAACCAGAGCGCAAGAAAAGGTAAGCGTGTCTCCCTTACGCGTTGCTGTGTGGTAAATTTATATCTCCGGCCCTCACGCCACGAAGCAGTAATGCCGCATCCTCCACAGAGGCGCAGTGTCGCATCACGACATCATCAAATAAGCGTGGAGTTTGCTGTATTTAAGGAAGAAGCTGTTTACTTGAAATAGGCTGCTCCCCTGCTTTAAAACACTGTCACACAGCGGACACGTACTGCAGTCAGATATGGTGTAGGCCCGCTCATGATCTAGCCTGATGTGTCTGGTATTTGAAGGCTTCTATCTAAACTGGCAGATGAGTGATGTTACTCAGTAAGGGGCATCATCTCATACGTTCTGAGGCCATTATTAAACGACCATGCTGCAATATGTGGACTATAGGTGGTAGAGGAGGCCACAGACTACGCTTTTAAACACCTGCACTTTGCGCTCAATATTTGGGAGGGGGCGCTATTTGTCCAGCTAAAGGTATTATAAAGCCCGCTGTAAGGCTAAAGATAGACAGAAAGCAGATACGGGTGCCTCCCTACATGCATACTATGTCTGTGTGAATGTTACCGAAGGGGGAAATTAGACTGTGTATAGAGATTTTGTCCCATCAATATGGCAAATATATTAAAAAAAAAAGACTTGCCATGTGTGTGTATGTTTCTGTTTTACATCGTCACTTCATGTTTCTAACCAAATGCAAAGAAATACTATTGATTTTTGATGGCAAAACAGAAAGCTGCTGGGAATCAGTTGTACGATCTGATGTTTTCAATCATTATTTGTGTGACAGGTTCTGCAGAAACTTGGCAAAGCAGACGAGACCAAAGATGTCGCTTTTGAAGAGGGAGTAATCAACTTCAACAAACAATATGTAAGAGTGCAGTTCAGTGACTCATGGAGTCATAATTAAACATTTTCTAGATATCAACAATAGTATGGCCTAAAATAGGATAAACTGTAGCCTGCATTGAGTCTGAATCCACAGCATATAATACACGACTGGCGTTTTTTGATGAGGCTCATATTTAGTGTTTCATCCTCAGGCTGAAGGCAGCAAACTCCAGAGGGATTTAAGAGCATACCTCGAGGCTGTGAAAGGTGACACGCACGAACACACAAGTCAATCCAGAGACACAAACACACAGAAACACACTTTCATTGGCGTATGAATACACACTAATATAAGCTAATGTAGAGGATGTATGTTTGTCCTTAGCCATGCATGAGTCCTCTAAGAACCTTCAGGCATGTCTAGCTGACATGTATGAGCAAGACTGGTATGGCAAGAATGAAGTGGACTCCATTGTGGAGGTGAGAAACACTTTTTACTATTTCTTTAAAAGCCATATTAAGTGAGTAGGTTATATGTGTGTACAGGATGTGTGCGCTTAGACATCCTGAAAGTTGTGTGATACAGGGGTTATACTTTTCTTGCCTTCGAGTATGCGTGCCCACTTAGTGCTGAGTGTTACAAGTCTGGTCGTCATGAGGTAAACGGAAGGATGTTCGCCAATCCTGTGTTATAAATGGTTTCAACTACACGAGTCCTCCAAGCTGATTAGAAAATAATAGAATAACCGCTCTTCGGAAATATTCAGGCTGTCCATCTCTGCAAGCAATTATAGTCCCACAGCATGAAAAACTGTACTGCTGCAGACTTTATATTATGCTGAATGTCGTAGAACCACGTCTGGTGAAAAATGTTGCAGAGATCCTTAAAATGTCCTCTAATTGTATTCTTGAGGTCATTTTTGATTAGCCACAAATAGCAAGAAGTCATTGCAATTAGCTAAAAGGCCTTTGCCTTAGTGAGGACCACAAGTCAAAATGATGCAACAGAGCTCCTGAAACAAGTTACAAAGTAAAGGAGAAATATATTCACATTGCATGCTACTCCAATATAAAATGTGCTCTGCAGGAGATTTGTCTCGTATAATGTTAAACAGTCTGTCTTGTGCCTGCTTCTGTACATTCCTTCATCTTGCAGGATTGTGATGTGCTTTGGACTGATTACCACCAGAAGCTGGTTGATCATGCTCTCATCTCCATGGATACTTACCTGGGCCAGTTCCCTGATATTAAGGTAAGTTAAGAGGTCGTGACCTCAACAAAAAATCGGTGGTCTTAAATGTTAATCCAGTGGCAGTGAGCGTCTCTTTTATATATTGTGACCTTGCTGGAAAGCATGTTGTATGAATACTGAGCATTTCGATATAAATGAAGAAAGTGAATAATACATTTTTTTTTCTTTTTATTCAGACTCGTATAGCTAAAAGGGACAGGAAGCTGGTAGATTACGACAGTGCCAGGCATAACTATGCCGTGACACACAAAACCAAGAAAAAGGACGGGGGCATTAAAATTACTAAGGTAAAACAAATGCGCTGCGGTGTTTGTAATCACTCAGATGCAAAATTCAACAATTATTTTGTTTTTCAGTTCATTATTTAGGTGAATCAACATGTAAGAAACCTAAAAAAATATATATGTTTGTTTTGTAGCCCTCATCCTTGTTGGAAAGGGCCACTCCAGGATGGGCTCAGGGTATCCTGTCTGCACACAACGTTGCCCAAAGCAGTCTTTCCAGGAGCCAGGTACATATTTACCTTATTCTACAATTGTAAGGAGTTTTCTGGTAACTCAGCAGTAAAATATATGTTACCATAACAAAGAAGTCAGTATGAGCTAGTTTCAGGAAGCCTTTCTAGAGATGATCCCTGTGTTTGTCTGGCCTCTCTGTTGATAATCTAATGAGGGCAAATTGAAAATGAGAACATCAAAAAGAACAAATCATATTAAGCACAATCAGTGGTGGAAGAGATGTTGTGCATACACACACACACACACACACACACACACACACACACACACACACACACACACACACACACACACACACACACA